TATTTGTGAAAAAAGAAGTCCTACCAAATTCTTTTTATGATACAAATATGATACCTAAAACAGAGTCAAAACAGAGAAAAGCATAGACCAATTTCCCTAATGATGAAAAAAAAATTTTTTTTTTGGTGAGGCGATTGGGCTTCGGTGACTTGCCCAGAGTCACACAGCTAGTGAGTGTTATGTGTCTGAGGCCAGATTTGAACTCAGGTCCTCCTGACTCCAGGGCCAGTGCTCTATCCACTGTGCCACCTAGCTGTCCCTAGATGCAAAAAATTTAAACAGAATATTAGCAAAAAGATTACAGCAACATCACAAGAATAATATATTATGACCAGGTAGAATTTATACTAGGAATGCAGGGCTGGTTCAATATTAGAAAAACTGTCAGCATAATTAATCATATCAACAACAAAACTAACAGAAACCATACGATTATCTCAATAGATACAGAAAAAGCTTTTGACAAAATACAACACCCATTCCTATTAAAAACACTAGCAAGCATAGAAATAAATGGAGTCTTCTTTAAAATGATAAATAGCATCTACTTAAAACCATCAGCAAGCATTTTATGTAATAGGGATAAGCTAGAAGCATTTCCAATAAGATCGGGAGTGAAACAAGGATGTCCATTAACATCACTGTTATTCAATATGGTACTAGAAATGCTAGCTTTAGCAATAAGAGATGAAAAAGAAATTGAAGAAATTAGAATAGGCAAAGAAGAAACTAAGCTATCACTCTTTGCAGATATGATGATATACTTAGACAATAGTAGAGAATCAAGTAAAAAACTGCTTGAAATAATAAACAACTTTAGCAAAGTTGCAAGATATAAAATAAACTCCCATAAATCATCAGCATTTCTATATATTACTAACAAAGCCCAACAAGAGATAGAAAGAGAAATTCCATTTAAGTTACCGCAGACATTATAAAATATTTGGGAGTCTACCTGCCAAAACAAACCCAGGAACTATATAAACACAATTACAAAACACTTTTCACACAAATAAAGTCAGATCTAAATAATTGGAAAAACATCAGTTGCTTGTGGGTAGGCTGAGTTAATATAATAAAAATGATAATTCTAACTAAATTAATTTATTTATTCAGTGCCATAGCAATCAAACTAACAAAAAATTATCTTACAGAGCTAGAAAAATAATAACAAAATTCATCTGGAAAAACAAAAAGTCCAGAATATCAAGGGAATTAATGAAAAGAAATGCTAGAGAAGGTGGCCTAGCCATACCAGATCTTAAATTGTATTGTAAAGCAGCATTCATCAAAACTACTTGGTACTGGTTAAGAAATAAAGTGGGGGATCACTGGAATAGGCTAAGTGCACAAGACACAGTAGTCAATAATTATAATAATCTGCTGTTTGATAAACCCAAAGAACCAAGCTTCTGGGAAAAGAACTCACTATTTGACAAAAATTGCTGGGGAAACTGGAAAATAGTATGGCAGAAACCAGGCACAGACCAACATCTTACACAATATCCCCAAATAAAGTAAAACTAAGTACATGATTTAGACACAAAGGCTGATACTGTAAGCAAACTGGGACAGCAAGGAATAGTTTATCTGTCAGATTTATGGAGAATAGAAGAATTTATGACTAAACAAGAGATACAGAACTTATGAAATGCAAAATGGATAATTTTGATTACATTGAAAAGTTTTTGCACAAACAAAACCAGTGGAACCAAGATTGGGAGGGAAGCAGAAAATTAGGAAAGAATTTTGTAATCAGTGTCCCTGATAAAGGCCTCATATCTAAAATATATAGAGAACTTAATCAAATTTATAAGAATACAAGTCATTCCACAATTGATAAGAGGTCAAAGGACGTGAACAGGCAGTTTTCAGATGAAGAAATTAAAGCTATCTATAGTCATATGAAAAAATGCCCTAAATCACTATTGATTAGAGAAGTGCACATCAAAACAACTCTGAGGTACCACATCACACCTATCAGATCGGCCAACGGGACGAAATAGGAAAACGGAAGCTCGGTTGCTACGGGCGACCGCAGGCTCGAGATTCTCGGTAGTGGATTCAGCGGGTCTGAGCCTCCTCCCAGAGCGCTGCGCGACAGACGCCTGCTGCTTTGCTCTCCTGGCCAGGGTGCTGAAGAAGACCACAGGTCTCATTGGACTGGCAGTGTGTGAGACCCCACGGAGCGGCTAAGAGTATCATATTCGAAGATTCTTGATGCTCTTGACTTTATGCCAGACTACAAATGAAAGGCTGAATATGGTAAAAGAGGAAACAGATCTTCAGAAACTAGGGGATAAGCTTCAAGTTGGCCAGCTAGAAGAGGTGATTCTACAGGCTGAAAATGAATTATCACTGGCAAGAAAAATGTTGACATGGAAACCGTGGGAGCCTTTAGTGGAAAAACCACCAGCCAACCAGTGGAAATGGCCATTATAATATGTGTTAAATATCTATGATATATAATTTTTTTTAAAAATCATTAAACATCTGTTTAAATACTATTAAAATTTTTTTGAATTATTGGAACTTTATTAACAGGAAAACTGAAACAAGGTAGTTAGGGACAAAAAATTAGTGAAGGATTAACATATGATAGGGATGAACCATAATCTGAAAAGCATTTATTCATAAAAACAAATCATTTTTAAAAACCCTTAAAGAAAGTGATTGCACTGTAATTTGGAAAATCTAATCAGAAACTTTTTTTTAATCTTCAATCCAAGAACAAAGAAAGCAACAGAGACTAATAATCTAAGGCATGAGAAACAATCATAAATTGAAGTATAATGTGTTAGGTTTATGGAAGACTTCCTTTAGTATTTTTCAACATTTTGTTTAAAAGTTTGTGCTAAGTTATGTTAATTTCTAGGAAAGAACTGAATAAGGTGGCATGCTTGAATTTTAATTGAACACTTTTAAAATGCTGAACTGTTGTATGGAAAGCACCTGATTAGCCGAGATTCTAAAACTTATTAATTGAATGTTTTTATATAATTGCATGCATTTTTCCACATTCTGAAAGTAATGTAAGAGATTTTCAAATTGAGGTTGACCTGCTTGGCTTGGAGTATATGTATTTAGTGAAGAAAAATCTAAATTTATTATGTGCAATTTGGTTCTTATGTATATTAAACAGAAATGTTTACTGAAAAAAAAGAATGTATATGTACAAACAAGGTCTCTGATAAGGGACTCATTTCTAAAATATGTAGAGAACTAATTCAAATTTATAAGAATACAAGTCATTCCCCAATTGATAAATGGTCAAAGGATATGAACAGATAGTTTTCAGATGAAAAAATTAAAGCTATCTATAGTCATATGAAAAAATGCTCTAAATCACTATTGATTAGAGAAATGCAAATCAAAACAACTCTGGGGTACCATATCACACCTATCAAATTGGCCAACATGACAAAACAGGAAAATGATAAATGTTGGAGAAGGTGTAGGGAAAATTGGAAGACTAATGCATTGTTGGTAGAGTTGTGAACTGATCCAACCATTTTGGAGAGCAATTTGGAGCTATGCCCAAAGGGCTATAAAAATGTGCATACCCTTTGACCCAGCAATAGCACTTCTAGGGCTGTATCCCAAAGAGATTATACAAATGGGAAAAGGACCCACAAGTACAAAAATATTTATAGCACCTCATTCTGTGGTGGCAAAGAACTGGAAATTGAGGGGATGCCCATCAGTTGGGGAATGGCTGAACAAGTTGTGGTATATGAATGTAATGGAATACTATTATCCTATAAGAAATGATGAGAAGGGGCAGCTAGGTGGCACAGTGGATAGAGCACTGGCCCTGGAGTCAGGAGGACCTGAGTTCAAATCCAGCCTCAGACACACAACACTCACTAACTGTGTGACCCTGGGCAAGTCACTTAACTCCAATTGCCTCAAAGAAAGAAACAGTGAACAGGCAGACTTCAGAAAAATCTGGAAGGACTCACATGACCTGATGCTGAGGGAAGTGAGCAGAACCAGGAGAACATTGTACACAGTACCAGCCACATTGTGTGATGACTGACTTTGATAGATTTAGCTCTTCTCAGCAACACAAGGATCTAAGACAACTCCAAAAGACTCATGATCAAAAATGCTACCCATGGAGCAGCTAGGTGGTGCAGTGGATAGAGCACTGGCCCTCGATTCAGGAGGACCTGCATTCAAATCTGGCCTCAGACACATAACACTTACTAGTTATGTGACACTGGGCAAGTCACTTAACCCCATTGCCTAACTTAAAAAAAAATGCTACCCACATCCAGAGAAAGAACTGTGGAGTCTGAATGCAGAGTGAAGCATACTATTTGCTCTCTCCCTCTCTCTCTCTCTCTTTTTTTTTTTGCTTTGTTTCTTCTTCCATGTGGTTCCTCCTATTCATTCTAATTCTTCTTTACAACAAGACTAATGTAAAAATATGTTTAATGAGAATGTATATGGACTTCGGCCTGTAACAGAATATTATTGTGCTATAAGAAATGATGAGCAAGCAGACTTCAGAAAAACCTGGAAAGACTTGTATGGACCGATGATGAGTGAAATGAGCAGAACCAGCAGAACCAGGTAACAGCCACATTATACAATGATTAACTTTGATAGATAGACTTAACTCTTCTCAGTAATGCAAGGATCTAAGACATCTCCAAAAGCCTCATGATGGAAAATGTTATCCATATCCAGAGAAAGAACTATGGAGTTTGAATGCAGATCGAAGAATACTATTTGCTCTTTTTTTTTCTTTTGTTTTGTTTTGTTTCTTCTTTCATATGGTTCCTCCTATTGGTTCTAATTCTTCTTTACAACATGACTAATGTGAAAATATATTTCCTAGGAATGTATATGTAGAGTCTACATCAGATTGCATACTGTCTTGGTGAGGGAGGTAGGGAGAAAGGGGGAGAAAATTTAAAACTCAAAAGCTTATGTAAGTGAAAGTCGAAAACTAAAAATAATAAATAAACTTTTTAAAAAGAGCCCAGGTGATCATGGCTGCCTGTTGGGTAATATCAAACCAACTCTCTGCTCCAAGGTGCATTCTTTTTGGCCTCTAGAGATGCTTCTGACCCATCAGACTCCAAGAGACACTTGAATTCCATTCAACTCAACAACCATTAATTAATGCATACTATGTGTCTGCAATGTGCTGAACAATAGAGATTCAAAGGCATAGATGAAACAGTCTCTGCCCTTGAGGAATTTCCATTTTAGTCAAGGGAGATATAACATTTGTAGAATGTCCAGTGGGCTCACTCCCCCACTAACATTCACAATGGCAGATTGGGTACCCAGAAGGACAGCTACTGCCTTGCATTCTAGAGGTTATTCAGGGTTTTCTATCCTTCTAATGCTTTAACTAATGAGCCCCCATCTGAGTGCTTCTCATTAATAATCCGCCAGTAGACTCAATGAGCTCTTTATGAAAAGATATTACTCAAATTCCATAGCAACAGTAGTAGTTACAAATCATTATCCCTCAAACTCACAGCTCTAGAATTGCAGAGACATGAAGTCCTTTCATTCTAGAGAGAGTCTTTATGAAGTTCACTGTGGGCCATCAATGTCATTGATGTGTGATTCACTCCACTGGTCAGCTGGGCCTGATCCTCAATGGGCATAGTGTTTCTGCTGGATCATTGATGGGGAGGAGGAGATCAACTTGGCTGCCTTCTCACAGGGTGCAACATCTCTGGTATGTAGATTAGTCCACTGAATTTCCTGAGCTAACTCTTTGACAAGCAACTGAAGTCTCCACCCCTTCCAGCCTCAGGCTCTGCTAGATGGTATAGTATTCTTTTCAGCTAGAGTGTTACTTACACTCTTTCAGCAAAGCAGCAGTCCTTAATCTACAATTGACCTCTCCCTTCCTACTCCCTCAGAACCTATGTTGTAAGATTTGTCATTTCCTAAACAGGAGGTGGAAGAAGTATAGCCTTCTTCTGTTAGGAAGTCCTTCTTGGTTCAGAGCTGGGTTCCTTCCTTGAGGGTCTTTTTACATGTGGTGGCCAGCCAGTTACACTTTCCCAGATTCCTGTTGGGGTCATATTCAAATGAGTAGAAGGGAACAGAAGTATTGAGATGGTATGTGTTTTGAGGAAAGATATCTCTCCTGCCTTTTTTCATATGCAATTGAACTACTCCAAGCCTCAGATCCACGGTGTGGGATGCTTCACTTACACTAAGAAGGTCCTTACTTTTATATTTTGTTATCTCTCCACAACTTTCAACTTTGATGAAGTCAAAACAAGCCACACCCTTACATGTGTGATAGAAGTTTGGCACATGCTGAGACCACCTAAAGTGGTATCACACACTTAGAAGATGCTAGAGACCTGCTTCTAGGAGTCAGGACACCTGGCACAGGTGTGTTTATTCTGCATTGGCCTACCACATGATTCAGGAGAGCCATTTTCACTGGCCACTTAGCTGGAACTGTTTCCACCTTTAAAACCACCTGACTGAACCCAGCCTATCCTTTCCCCTCTCCCATAGTGTGCATTTGAATCTAAAGAAGAACAAATTCTTTCCAAGCATGTGGTAAGTAGGGAAGGTCCAAGGCCATTTACCCAACCCCTTTGGCCGTGTATCCCTGAGAAATGAGTTTGAGGTTTTAATACTCTTTCATGTATCTTTTTCAGTTCTAGGTACAGAAAACAGAATCTCCAATCCAGAAGTTCAAGCCACAAGAATCCAAGCTGGGTTTTGCAGCCAGCCAACAAAAGGTCCAAGACACCAGCCTAGCGGTCTATGGACTTGGATTTGGTGGAACTGATGCTGTGCAGGAGAGCCTAATCCTCCTCCCCACCACAGAAACCAATATGTTGCAGGGGGATTATGACGGGCAAGTACTGAGGGAAAATGTTCACATGTTTGTACAACACCATTGAAGTAAATATTCCTTCATTAAAATGAATCTGATGTTAAGTGGTTAAATGGAACTGGGGTGCTAGTTACCAAGACCCTAAAAATGGAGAGAACACAATTGATGGGAGCTTGAACCCATGTCAAAAGAAAGGAAACTCTCCAACTTCCTCGGGATACTAGAGAACCCTTACTGGAGGGGAGGGTAAAGAATAAAATGTAATAGACTTGGCCCTCAGACAGTGGGGCTGGTCAACTCATGTTATACACATTAATTGCAAATAAATACAGTTTAAGTGAACTGAGAGGGAGAGAGAGCATGAGTAACTGGAATTAATATGGAAGACTTTGCAGAGGAAGTGATGCTTGAGTTAAGCATTGAAGGAAGCCAAGGATTTAGAGCAACAAAGATTCTGAGGGAGGAGTGCATTCCAGGTGTAGTACTTGCTTAGGCAGGCTCTTCAATCACAGAATTCTTTAAATTTTCCTTTTTTGAAAGAAATTTTATTTTTTGTTCTGAATTGAAACACCAAAAAGAGTACATTCCCATAACACACAGCAGAACACAAAAAGAGGACTGATTATACTTGGAGCTGTGAATCTCTGCTTTATATTACTTACTTTCTTTTCCTTTAAGTGTGTAATAAATTCCATACGCTAAGAATCAGAGTTTGAAAGGTGGAAGGCTCCTCAAAAGCCAACCAACCAGTCCTACACCCAAAGGGATCTCCAAGTGAAGAAATTATGAAGGAAATGGTTTCAGAGAAATCTGGAAAGACTTGTGTGGACTGATATAGAATGAAGGGAATGGAACCAGGAGGACAATTTCTAATAGAACATCAATAACCACTTTGAAAAACTTCAGAACTGATTCATACAATGACCAGCCATGATTCTAGAAGACTGATGATGAAGAATGTGATCCATTTCCTAAAAGAGGCGATGAATAAAAAGCTCATATTTTTCAAGCTCACCCATGTGGGAAGTTGTTTTACTTGATTGTACATATTTGTTACAAGGGGTTTGTTTTCCCTTTTTATCTTATTGTAGAGAGAGGAAAGGAAAAGGGAGAGAAAAATAAATGCTTGTTAATAGAAAAAAATAATAAAATAAAATGCCCAACAAGCTTAGTAAAACTTCATCTAAAAACTTACCTGATAAAATGAATAAATTGTTTTGTGTTCCATAACAGCACTAACTCCATATGGGCACTGGAAAGGGATGATGAAAGCGAATTGTTGGGAGGACATAACTGGCCCCATTTTATTCTGTATTTACTATTTATGCAGGGTGTTATGACCTCTGCATGAACAACAGGACCATCTACAACAGCTGGTTTCCTTCAGTGTCTTCTTTCCTCCTCTGTTACCAAAAAACAAAACAAAACAAAAACCTTAATTACATTTTAAAAAAAGGAAGATTTCAGAATTTCTGCAATGACCCCCTACTGATAGGTAGTTCTCTTTGACTTTGTAAAACTAGCAATACTAGCAATTCTGTATTCCTGATCTCTCTTCTGTGGCCAATATATATATTTTCCTTAACAAGCATACTTTACTTCCTTTGCACAACTGGCTTCTCTTTAATAAGCAGCCACCTTTTCCTCCCTTTTGTTTCAGGTAATGTATAAATACTACTAGATGAATTATGAAGGACCCATTCCCCAGCCTGCTGGTGGGGTATGTCACACTCTGAGTGTAATAAAAACTGATTATCTGATTTGTGCTGACTTAATTAGCATTAGTGAGTCTAATGGATAAGAAAATTCATGCTTCAGGGAAAAACAGGTGAATAAGCAGACAAACCCATTTGGAATCCTGGCTCCCAGCGCTTTGGCACAGATTTCTAACTCTGTTGAAATGAGAGTTTAAAAATGTCATATCACAGGGTCAGTTAGGTAGTGCAGTGGTTAGAGCCCTGGCCCTGAAATCAGGAGGACCTGAATTCAAATCCGGCCTCAGACCAAACACTTGACACTTTCTAGCTGTGTGACCCTGGGCAAGTCACTTAACCCCAACTGCCTCAAAATTAAAAAAAAAAATGTCATGTCATTGTTGCATAATATTTCATAAATTTATTACAAATTGGTTCACATTTTGCACCCTTCTCCTGGTGGGGTGATTCTCATTACCTTCTTAACTTCATGATGCAAAAGAAAAACACACTTTTGTTATGATTTTAAATGCATTCCCTGCCTGAAATTGGACTTGAAAGGTACAGAGTTAAAATTCCTTAGTGTTCTCTGCCCTGGTAACCCTGTAAAACCTCCCCTTGACTTGTCCCTCATCTTCAGCTGGTCATTCTCAGCACTTCTGAGTGACCTTTGACAACAGTTTATTCCAGAAACTCCATTTTCAGAGCCCACAGAGGAAAGAGGAGAAAGAGTTTCCTAACAGAGACGATCCAGGGCATCTTGAACTGCCAAAGTGGCATACTAATCCATTTCAGGTCTATTGTTCAAAGATAGGTGACTCTATTATTCTCTAAGAAATAAGGAAGGGTATTGTTTCAGAAAAAAAGAAACATGGGAAGATTTCTGTGAACTGAAGCAAAGTGAAGTGAACAGAACCAGAATAACAATTTATGCAACAACAACAGCATTATAAAGATAAATAACTTTGAAAGCTTAAGAATGCTGATCGACACTATGACCAACCACAATTCCAGAAGGCTTATGATGAAACATGCTACTCACTTTCAGATAGAGGACTGATGGACTCAGAGTGCAGACGGAGACAATTTTTTGGACATGGTCAGTGCAGGAATTTGTTTTGCTTGACCATATATGTTTGTAATGAGTTTTGTTTTTCTTGCTCTCTCAAGAACAAGAGAAAGGGGGTAGGGAATAGGAGAGGGAGAAAATGAGAGCCTGAAAACTTAATTTAATTTTAAAAAAACATAGATCTTCTTCCATATTTGCATTTTTCTCTTCTTCTTCTGTAGCATCATTATAAGTAATAATAATGAAGAGCTAACATTTATATAGTACCTTCTATGGGCTAGGCACTGTGCTAAACACTTTACAATTGACATTTCATTTCATCCTCACAACATCCCTAGAAGGTAGGCGCTATTATTATCCCTATTTTACAATTGAGAATACTGAGACAAATGACTCACCCAGGGTCACACAGGTAGTAAGCGTCTAAGACCAGCTTTGAAGTCAAGTTTTCCTGACTCCAGGCCCAGCACTCTATCCACTGTCCCATCTAGCTGCCCCTATGTGTGATATAGATGGGCTGTTGCTGATATCATTGACCCATCCTTCTTTTAAAAGCATGATTTCTGAAGTTTTCCATCACAAATGAAACAATCTTCCTAAATCATTCCTGGACTGGTGAGCTGAATCCTGTCAGTTACTCCTGAGGCACATCTTCTATCTGACTTAACTAGTGAGAATATACTTGTCTTTTTGCTGAGCTTCTGTCTCAACTGAGCTTACTGCTTTTCCAGGGTTAGAAACTCTTGAAAGTCAAATTTTCAGGATCCATCTCTGGGGTCGAGAGGTCAGTGTTCTCACAGTGTAGGCTACCTGTGCCCTCCAGTAGGCTTCTGAACAAGTTGCATGGATAATCAAATTATATAGATATTGGATCCTAGTGTGTCATTTGCAGTATCTTGAATATTTTGAATAGACTGGAATTGGGTGCAGCCAGTCAGCGCTGATGCTCTGAAGATGTTGGGTGGGTCAGAACACAACAGAACCACAGTGTCCACCTTCCTATGATCAATATCTTGACTTTGAATTTGATGATCACTTTAGAGGGGTGGGAAGGCAGTGGTCCAATCTAGACAAAAGCAAAGCTTGTTTATTCCCCTTACTCTGTTTCAGAGGAGGGCCCCAATCATGATTCTTCCCAGTTTCCTAAAAGGAAAAGTCTAGAAGCAGTTTCAAGGTGAAGAAATATTATTTCTAAATATTTCTAAAGAAACCAAAGAGGAGGGTTTTTAAGTAATTTTAATGTTTAATGCATTATTTTTAAAATAAGTATTAACGCTTTTAGTTTCTTAAATCACCACCGTTATCCCAAATATCCCTTCTTCCTCCCTCTCCTAAAGAGTCATCCCATATGACAAGTAGTATTTTTCAGAGAGGAAAACAAATCAGCACAACTGATCAAAACATTGAAAAAGTCTGAAAACGTGCAATATGTAACACCTATGGACCTCCCACCTCCATGAAGGGTTAGGTTGGGGTTGTCTTCTCATATCTCTTCAATTCAAGTCCTTCTGGACCCTTATAATTCTGTTACCTTTACTGTTGATTTTTTTGGTGTGTCATGGTTCTTCTCATTTACATTGTTGTAGTTACTGTGTATATTGTTTTCTTAGCTTTACTTACTTTACTCTGCATCAGTTCATGTAGATCTTTCCATGCTTCTCTGTATTCATCACATTCATCATTTCTTACAGCACAGTAATATTCCCTTACATTCATGTACCAGTTTGTTTAGTCATTCCCCAACTAATGAGCATCTACTTTGTTTCCAATTCTTAGCTATTACAAAAAAGTATTGTTATAAATACTTCGAAGTATATAGGGATTTCTTTCTTATCAATAGCTTCTTTGCGGTATAAATTTAGTAATGGAATCTCTGATTAAAAGAGTAAAAAAATTTTAGTCACTTTGTACAATTCCAGATTGTTTTCCCAAATGGTTGTACCATTTCACAGCTCCACCAACCAAGTATTAGTGTGCCTATCCTTCCACAACCTCTCCAAAACTATTATTGTTATTTTATTAGTAGTAGTAGCATTTTTATTATAATATTATCAACTATTGCTATTTTAGGGATATCTTTTGTCAATTTGCAGGATGTGACATAAAACTTCTGAGATTTGCATTTCTCTTATTATTAATGATTTGCAGCATTTTTCACATGGTTGTGAATACTTTGCAGTTCTTTTTTTCCTTTTTTTTCTTTTTGATGTGGCAGTTGGGGTTAAGTGACTTGCCCAGGGTCACACAGCTAGTAAGTGTCAAGTGTCTGAGTTCGGATTTGAACTCAGGTCCTCCTGACTCAAAGGCTGGAGCTCTATCCACTGCACCACCTAGCTGGGCAGCTTGGAGTCAGGAGGACCTGAGTTCAAATCTGGCCTCAGACTTACTAGCTGTGTGACCTTGGGCAAGTCACTTACCCCCAACTGCCTTTAAAAACAAACAAACAATTCTGGCCTCAGACACCTCACACTTAGTAGCTGCGTGACCCTGGCCAAGTCACTTAACCCCAAATGCCTCAACAAAAAGCAAAACAAAAACAAACACAAAAAAACCTTTGTTTACATCCTTTGAGCACTTATGTATTGGGGAATGGTATTAGTCTTGCATAGCCATTCCCCAACAGATCAATGATCAAGGGATATAAGCAAACAGTTCTCAAATGGTGATTTTGTTAATATGCTTCCACAACTGCCCCTTCTGTGTTTCTGCACAAGTTGAAAACATATTCTACTTGTGTTATTCTGTTATTATTAATTATTAACATAATATTGGTTCCCAGATTTCAATTTTGTAGCTGTTAATCAATAACAAGGCACATTACTACAGTTGACCTAAAATATTGTGTTCTCCTTATTTTTTTTTCAATTTTTTCAAGTTCATCAAAACAAATGACAAAGACGATTGTTGATGTTATATTCGGTAATATAATAAGGTTGACCTTTCTCCTCTCCTCCTCCTCTAGTGCCACTGAGTGAGGATCCGCCCCCACAGCCTTTACCGTTGCAGGTAACTGTGAATGATGAAATAATCAAAGTTTTTAATGACATGAAAGTAAGGAAAATCTTCTACACAAGAGGAAAAAGAAAGAAAGAAAGAAAGAAAGAAAGAAAGAAAGAAAGAAAGAAAGAAAGAAAGAAAGAAAGAAAGAAAGAAAGAAAGAAAGAAAGAAAGAAAGAAGAAAGAAAGAAAGAAAGAAAGAAAGAAGGAAGGAAGGAAGGAAGGAAGGAAGGAAGGAAGGAAGGAAGGAAGGAAGGAGAGAGAGAGAGAGAGAGAGAGAGAAGAGAGAGAGAGAGAGAGAGAAAGAAAGAAAGAAAGAAAGAAAGAAAGAAAGAAAGAAAGAAAGAAAGAAAGAAAGAAAGAAAGAAAGAAAGAAGTTCTCTTCTGTTTATGTGATGACAAAAACCAAATAATTGTAGAGGAAGCAAAGCAGATCTTGGTGGGTGACATTGGTGATATTGTAGAGGACCCCTACACATCTTTTGTGAAGTTGTTACCTCTGAATGATATGCTTTGTATGATGCTGCATATGAGACAAAAGAGTCTAAGAAAGAAGACCTAGTTTTTATATTCTGGGCTCTTGAATATGTACCTTTAAAAAGGAAGATGATGTATGATAGTTCTCAAGATGCCATTAAAAAGAAATTTACAGGTATTAAACACGAGTGGCAAGTAAATGGATCGGATGATATTAAGGATCATTCAGCTTTCAGAGAGAAACTGGGAGGCAATGTACTAGTTTCACTTGAAGGAAAGCCTTTATAAAATGACAGTGAAGTCCCATCTAGAAGCAGTTTCCATTTTTGCAGCTCCATCAGTTGGAATAGTGTTAGGTTTTTGTTTGTTACCATACCTTCCCAGAAAACATAAAGCAGAAGTCAGTAATTTAAGCAGCCTACCAGTGATTGCCATTAGACTGTTTCACCCTGGTAGTTATATGTAGAACCCAAGCCAAAATAAATGGCATTATATAAATCCCTTGCAGAACTAAGATAAATATAATAGTCAACACAAATAGCTTAATTTGATTAAGTTAATCGAATGCCTTGAAAGTATGATCCACTGGTCAGATGCTAAACTTCATTCAATATTACTTAGAGTTGCACTTGATTGCAGTTCCTGACGTTCTTGTGCTTTGTACACCTAACCTGCCTTTAACACTCCTATTGTGATGTGGGAGCATGTGTATGTACATATATATAGATATACATGTGTGTATATGCACACACATGTACCCACATGCATATACATGCACACATATATGCATAACTATGCATTGAAAGCACTTTTATGTAATAAGGTTGTACACTTCAAAAAGGAATGCCAATTAAGTTGTCATAACTGTCATCAAATTATTATAGTACCTATGGTACTTCAGTGTTCATTCCTGTCATCTTCATATCTTCCTAAATGAAGTAGTTGTTAATGCCTTTTTATTTTCCATTGAATGTACAAGAGTAGGTGGTAAGTGTTTACCACGTGAGTCTTGCAGCACTAAAGATATTTTGAATAATGTTATAATGGCAATTTCTAAGAGACTTAAATGGAACATTGTTTTTTGAGAACAAACTCTCCACCCCTACAAAACTGGCCACATTGCAGTAAAACTTGTGGCTTATTACAAATAATGATAATAATAATAAGGTTGAGGCATGACCTCAAATTGGGATATAGAGAGCAAAGCATTTAGTAAAGAAGCATTCGCATGGTGGTCAGAAGAACCAATACAAGGACACCCTCAAGGTCTCTCTTAAGAACTTTGAATTGATTGTATGACATGGGAGACACTGGCACAGGACTGCCCTGCATGGCGTGCCCTCATGAGAGAAGGTGCTGTGCTCTATGAGCAAAGCAGAATTGAAGTAGCTCAAAAGAAAGGCCAGGATGTGCAAATTTAGAGAATCCGCCCCAAATGTTCGCGTGGACTATATTGTGCCCAAACTGTGATAGAACTTTCCGAGCTCATATCAGTCTGATCAGCCACAGTCGAGTGATGTCATTTTGGTCCTCTTCAAGAACAAAAGACAACAACCAACCAACCAGGAAGAAGGAAATTCTCATATGGTTTTCCCAGAAATGTGGAGAGCACTCCCTCAGACCCAAATGGAGTTGATTCAATAGGCTCCTGTCGTAAGGATAGTGGCTTTTCCAATTGTATCAACTATAGGTCTCTTTCTAGGCCTTTATGTATATTCCGCACTAAAATGGTAGTGTTAGCTTCATCTCAAAGCATCTTGGAGCATGAAAACTTGCTTGCCTCCCTTAGGTAGTAAAGATATTCAAATGCTAGTTGGATCTGCACAAGTTGGGTCAATAAAGTAGACAAAGTCTTAGTCACACTTTCACACATCTTGATCTTAACCCCCAAATCCCAAGTCACTGGTCATGGTTGGGGTATTGGTCCACTCCTTGTTGTCACTGCCACTTCCAGGCTTTCCCTCTACCACTATTACTCAGTAACCTCTTCTTCTTTGAGATTCATTCAATACATACTTATCACCTGATCAAAATTCTGGGGGCTGTTGTCCAAAGATCTTTAGGATACTCTCTTTCCTATCTCAATGAGTTTAGAGTTGACTCATAATTTTTCTCTTCTCCCCAAATCCTGTCTTCATAATATTAGGGGACTTTAATGTAAATATTTTTTCTCTTTATTTATTTGTTGTTACATTTTAAGTTCTGAACTGTCTTCCTCCCTCCTTACCTCACACTAGAGTAGACCATCATTTGACACAAATTTATAAATATGTGTAAAAGCATACTATGCATAGTTCTATTTATCAGTTCTTTCTCTGGGAATATATAGCATCTCCTTTCATAGGATAACTCAGGATAACTTGGTTGTACACACTTATTCTTCAAACAATATTGCTGTTACTGTATACCGTATATGCTATACTGTATACTGTATACTTGGTTCTGCTCATTTCATTCTTCCTTATTTCATGCAAGTCTTTTTCTAAAATCAACCAGCTCATCATTTGTCATAGCACAACAATATTCCATCAGAATCACATACCACAACTTGTTTAGCCATTCCCCAATTGATAGGCATCTCCTCAATTTATAAGTTCTTTGCCACCACAAAGAGAGCTGCTATAAATATTTTAGAACATACACGTTCTTTTCCTCTTCCCCCTGATCACCTTGGGAAACAGACATAATAATGGAATTGCTGAGTTAAAGGGTATACACAGTTTTATAACCCTTTGGACATAATTTCAGATTACTCTCCAAAATAGTTGGATCAGTTCACATTTCCACCAACAGTGCATTAGTGTCTCGATTTTTCCAAATCCCCTGAAGCATTTGTCATTTTCCCCTTCTAACATTTTAACCAATCTTATAGGTGTGAGATGATATCTAAAAGTTGTTTTAATTTTCATTTCTCTAATCAATAATGATTTATAGCATTTTTCATATGACTATATATAGTTTTGATTGCTTCATTGAAAAACTGTTCATATCCTTTGTCCATTTATCAACTGGGAAATGACTCATATTCTTATAAATTTGAGAAAATTATCTATATATTTGAGATATGAGACCAATCTCTCTCTCTCTCTGTCTCTGTCTCTGTTCTCTCTCTCTCTCTCTCTCTCTCTCTTCTCTCTCTCTCTCTGTCTCTGTCTCTTTCTCTTTGTCTCTCCCCTATTCCTCCTCAAACATCTGACTTCTAACCACTGCCTCCCTAATCAACATCCCTTCTAAGAATCCCTCCCTTATCCTCTTCCCTTACCCTCCTATTCCTTCATCTCCTCACCCTTTTAAGAATCCCTCCCTTATTCTCTCCCCTTGCCCTTTTATTTCTTTATCTGCACAACCTTCTAAGAGTCACTCCTTTATCCTATCCTCTCATCCTCTTATTTTTCTCTAAGTTTAAAAGACTCTTATACCCTTCTAGATGTATAGATAATTCCCTCTTTAATCCAGTACTGATGAGAATAAGGTTTCAGCACTACAAGCCCTTCACCTCCTCCTGCCTCCACGGTAATAGTTCTTCTATTCACACATCATTTGTCTAAGATAATTGCTCCATTTTACCTCTCCCTACCTAATTTTATTTTTTAGGATCATCTCGTCATGCTCAACTCAACCCCAAGCCTTCTATCTATATATACTCTTTCAAATTACCCAAGTAAATGACAACATTCTTAAGAGTTACAGATAATGTTTTCCTATATAAGAAGTAAAGATTTTGTGCTATCCACATTCAGAGAAAGAACTATGGAGTCTGAATGCAGATCGAAGCACAGTATTTGCTCTTTTTTTTCTTCTGTTTTATTTTGTTTCCTCTTTCTTGTAGTTCCTCCTATTGGTTCTAATTCTTCCTTACAACATGACTAATGTGAAAATATGTTTAATAGGAATGTATATGTAGAGCCTATATCAGATTGTGTGCCATCTTGGGGAGGTAGATGGGGAGGGATGGGGGAGAAAAATTTAAAACTCAAAAGCATATGAAAGTGATTGTTAAAAACTAAAAATAAATTAATAAAAAAGAAAAAATGTAAAGCAAATAATCATTCCTTCATTCAATTTTGGAGAGAAACATTTTGCAAAAGCGAAAGCTCTATATAGATATAAATTGCTATGCTTATTAATAAAGACTTCAAGATATAGATCAGACTAGATGCTCACTAAATTTTAGTCACTTGTGCCAAATTCTTTGATTCTGTAAAAATATGAAATAAAGATTTGACTCTAAATTTGTTTTAAAAAAAAAGAAGTAAAGATTTTGATCTTATTAAGTCCTATATAATTCGTCTTTAATATTTACCTTCTTATGTTTCTCTTGAGTCTAGTAGGTCAAATTTTCCATTCAGTTCTGGTCTTTTCTTCACAAGTACCTGAAAGTCCTTTAGTTCATTAAATATCTTTTTTTTCCATTCATGATTATACACAGCTTTGCTAGATAAGTTGTTCTTGGTTGCAAGCCCAGCTCTTTTACTCTTCAGAATATATTGTTCAATGATCTTTGGTCTTTTAATGTAGCAGCTGATAAATCTTGTGTTATAATGACTGTAGCTCCACAGTATTTAAATTGCTTTTTTTCTTCTTGCTTGTAGTATTTTCTCCTTGACCTGGGAGCTTCCAAACTTAGCTATGATGTTCCTGTAAGTTTTGAGCTTGGGATCTTACAGGTGGTGATCAGTAGAATTTTTTTCTATTTCTATTTTACCCTCTTATCCTAAAACTTCAAGGCAATTTTCCTTAATAATCTCTTGAAGTACAATATCTAGACTCTTTTTTTTTTACAATTACATTAAACATATTTCCACATTAGTCACGTTGTGAAAGAAGAATGAGAACAAAAGGGGAAAACCACAAGGAAAAAAAAACAGAGAGAGAAAGTAGCATGTTTTGCTCTGCATTCAGAATCCATAGTTCTTTCTCTGGATGTGAAAAGCATTTTCCATCATGAATCTTTTGGAATTCTCTTAGATCACTGAATTGCTAAGAAGAGCTAAGTCTATCAAAGTTGGTCATCTCATAATGTTGCTGTTACTGTGAACAATGTCCTCCTGGTTCTGCTCACTTCACTCAGCATCAGTTCATATAAGTCTTTCCAGATTTTTCTGAAATCTGTCTGCTCATCATTTCTCATGGAACAATAGTATTCCATTACATTCATATACCATAACTTGTTCAACTATTCCCCAGTTGATGGGCATCCTCTCAGTTTCCAATTCTTGGCCGCACAAAAACAGCTGCTATAAATATTTGTGTACATGTTGGTCCTTTCCCCTTTTTATGACCTCTTT